CGGTGGCGCCCGGGGCCGGGGACGTCGCGGCGGCTGCGGCGTGCGGGGCTGGCACTGCTCGTGCTCGGCCACGGCAACCTGGTGCTGGGCGCCATCGTGCACGGCTCCGTGCTGCGGCACGTGGCCGGCACCGACCGCGCCGGCACCCCCGAGTACGCGGTGGCCAACGTGGTGTCCGTGGTGTCGGGGCTGCTGGTGAGAGCGGCGGGGCCGGGGGGCCATGCGGGCGGAGCGGGGCCGGCGCTGCCCGCGGTGAGCGCCGGTCTCTCCCTGCAGAGCGTCGCCGCGGGCATCGTCGCCATCCTGGTGTCCAACGACCTGTCCCGGGAGCCTCTGGTGAGTGTGGGGCCGGGGCCGGGGCCGGGGCCGGGGCCGAGAGGAGCCGAGCGCAGGGGCCGTTGCCGCCCAGGCCCGGCCGCCTGCCGCTCCCTTGGACCTTGTCCCCGGCAGCTCCTTCCGCCTCCGGCGCCTCGCAGGTGGCAGGTGCYTCCCGGGCTGCGCGGGGTGCTGGGGTGGCAAAAGGGGCAGTGACTTCGGCAGCTGCCTGGGGCCGGCCCTGCCCACGACTGCTGCAGAGCTGGGTCCGCAGCCCTGGAGCAGCCCGGGGGAGGGGGCTGCCCAGCAGTGCTGAGGGCACCAGAGAGGCAGAGGGTGCAAGAGCTTGTGGGAGCCAGGGCAAAGAGGCGCAGGGGACACGGGGTTGCTGTGTTTGTCGCACAGGCCTCAGCCAGCCCCGTTTCCCTGCACTGTGGCCAGAGGGCAGGTGTGCCCGGCCCAGAGCAGTGGCGGGACAGGCTCTGGCTGCGCGCGCTCTTGTTTGCCCTGGCTCTGTGCTGATGTGTCTCCTTGCCGCCTGCAGCACTGGGCCCTGCTGAGTGTGTCCCTCCTGAACAGCTTGCTGTCCACTGCATGCAGCGTGGGCCTGGCGCTGGCCATTGCCCTCACCGTTCGCAGCCGGGGAATGCGGCTGGTCATGGGCTGCAACAGCCCTGCACTGCCCGCTGATGCTCGTGCAGCCATTGCGACCAATGACTGCCCTTTCAACACCACGCGCATCTACGTGAGTCTGCGGGGTGGTGGGTGCCTGTATTGGCTCTGCCCGCTCCTGCTGCCCACGGCCCGTGGGACCCCTGGCCTCTGCTCTGCAGGACACGGCCCTGGCACTCTGGTCCCTCTCCCTGGTGCTGGCGACCGCGGAGGCCGTGCTGTCCGGCAGGTGCTCTTGGATGGCTTTGACAGTGCAGGGCATCAGGCCGTGCACACGCAGCTCCCTCAGCAAGCAGGTACATCGGGCGCAGCATCTGCCCCCCTCCCCTCTTTGCTTTCCCTCAGCTGCAGCTTGAAGGTGCTGGGTTCGCTGGGCCGCTTGTTCTGCACAGGTGGCTCAGCTGCCAGTGAGGATGCTGGCAGTGCTGCTCGGTTTCAAGGGGCCCGTGGCCCTCCTGGCAGTGCCGCTGCACTTGCTGTGCCCCTGCTGCACAGCCCCAGCCGGGCGCTGGCACCCTTTGGCTTGGTCACAGCGGGCCCCGCTCTGYCTGTGTCCCAGGGGCCTAGTCTGTTCAGTGCCGCTACCCTGGACGGCCCTCCAGCCCCTCCTCAAGCCGTTTGCATACCCAGTGCACGTGTTGATGGAGTTGCTTTCTCCACTAGCTGCCTAAGCCAGGTGCAACGGAGGCGGCGCCACCACGTGAGACGCGGCAGCTCCTGGGGGGACTTGCTGATTCCGGGATGTAGCTGGACGGGTGAGTGCAGTGTGTGGGCTGTGCTCAGGGCTCGGTCCCGGTGAGGAGGTCCTGCGGGCCAGGCCAGCCCTGCGCTCACATGTGGTGGCCTCACAGGTGCTGCTGCAGGAGCGCCAGCCCCAGAAGGGGAGGCTGCCGCCGCGGATACCGCACGGGCTGGAGGCCGCAGGAGCAGCGCGCGGCCCTGCGCAGCCCGGCCAAGCTGCCCGGCAGCACCGGGCACTGGCCCCTTCCTCGGCTGCAGCCGCAAGGACCTGCGCAGGGCACGGAGGCTCTGGGGTGGGGGGGTCCTTCCTGCAGGGGTGGCCGGTGGCCGGCAGAGACGCCCCCGGGAGACTGGCCCAGCTGCACAACAGCTGATGCCTCTGCTGGTTCCTCGGGCAAATAAAGATTTAATTCCCACACTGGCTGTGTGTGTGACTGCCCCGCGGTGGATGCTGGAAGGAAGGACACGAAGCCAGCAGCCAAGCCCATCTTCCTGCTTGTTCCCACTGGGAGCCAGGGTCCCACTGCAACCACCACCCAGCAAGGTGGAGGCCACATATTTGGCTCGGGAGAAGCAGCACCATGAAGGCCGTAGCCCTGTGCCCTGGGAGCCACGGACAGGAGCTGAGCAGGGTCGAGATGTCTTTATTGAGGGAGCTGTGAAGGGCTGAGTGCTGCCACCAGCACCGTGCAGCTGCCACCCCGCTCACTGGAAGGAGAAGCTGGTGCTCGGGAGCCCCCCGCACCACTGGCTGAGGAACTTGAGCACGTCCTGACATGCAGGGCTGTGCGATGTCTGCAGGGTGAGAGAGGCGGCCTGGTGCTGGGGCAGCACAGCCGCCTCCAAGGCACCCGCCGCCACCCTGCGCCCGGAGGAGCTGCACGCACATGCCCGGGCCTGTCCCAGCCCTGCTGATCCCTGCCCATCCCTGCCTGGCAGCAGGCCCCACTCATCCCTGCCGGGCAGCAGSATGGGACAACCCATGGCCGGCATCTCCCCCGAGATGGGCAGTACCTTGTGCCCAGCACGTGGGAGAAGCCGCCAGGCCTGACGGAGGCGGCAGGGGGACAGGGTGAGTGACACATACACACACACCTCACCACCGAACAGCCAGCTCACCTTGACAGCCATGAGGAACTTGTTCCACGTGTCTTTGTTGGCTTCTCGGCCCAGCCGCTTGAACTCCATCTTGTTCCTTAGCACAGGGTACCCTGGACATAGCAGCACCCCCACGGGGCAGGGGCGTCATGATCTGCCACCAGCAGCAGCTGCAAGCTCCACGTGTGCACCAAAGCAGCCCTGGCTTGCAGACTCCATGGAGCCGTGAGCCAGAAGAGCCCTGGTCCTGGTGGGTGCGTGCGTGCACGCACATGTGTATGTGTGCGCACACATATGTGTGTGCATGCAGATGCATGTGCGTGTGCACTTGCACACACGCATTTCACACTGAGCCACATGTCCCAGGCTGTGCCGCGGGATGCTGCACAGGGCCAATGGTCCCGCAGCATTCCCAGCTCCCTGCCGCTCCCTGCGTGCACTCACCTGTAAGCACACAGGGCAGGGAGCGCACTCCCGTGCTTGCAGCCACGAGTGAAGCTTCGTACGTGTCGCGCTCATCCTGCGGGAGCACCTGCTCCAGTCGCTGGTCCATGGACATGGTGAGCACCCAGTCCCTGACCTCCTCCCGCTTCTCCTCCTGCGGGACAGAGCCAGGGCACCCCCTGAGCTGGCCCTGCCCAGCGCCCGCTCCTCAGCATGGGTGGACAGGCACAGAGCTGACACTGCCCTCCTATAGCCCCCTCAGAGAGGGCCTTGAGGCCGCAGCACTGCTTGCTGTGCTGCCGGTGGGGGATACTCACAGGCACATGCTGATGTGCTGGAAGGGGCACCTCAAAGGGAATGTCCGTCCTCTGGAAATCCGAGTGGTCCAGGGAATCTGGGTTCCCCTCTTCGATGGCCTGCGGGAGAAGACGACCTTGCACTGGGCACTGGGCATGTGCTGTGCCGCACACTGCCCCCTTACTGGAGGATCYGGCAGGGGCTCGCAGGGCCGTTGGGCTGCTCGGACACCGACCACCTGGTCAGCGCGAGGCCCGAGCACTGGTCAGTGAGCGGAGCTGGGTGCCTCTGCCTGCACAATCTGCAGGGAGAGCCACCAAGCAGGACCATGTGGCAGGAGGGCCAACCAGGGTATTGCCTGGGTCCCTGGCCACGTGTAAAGACCTCAGGCGGCATCACGGCTCCCTGGCCTCTCCCCGTGGGCTGCAGCGCCCCGGGCTTTGCTCTGGGGCCACAGTTGGGCTTGCTGAGCCCAGTGCTGCTCTGTGCTCCAGGACGGGGGTAACCCCTGCTCACCTGGACCTGCTAGGTGAGCCTGTCTCCCAGGGCCCACTTTACCAGCAACTTTTACTGTGCCCCCTTTTTTTTCTCTCCCTTTTAGCTAATTGCAAAATCCCAAAGACACATTTGTAACCACCTCTGCTGCGCAACACCATTTAAAACAAAGAATGCTATTCAAGAGTGACTACCAATTATAAATAATCACATAGAAATAATGTGGATGCGTGTGGATGGCTGAGCACACTGCACCACCACTTTCAGCAGTTAGATCCATTACCTGGTAAATGAAGAGTGGGACTCATCCCCTCTAGCTGTAGTTGTTGGTCTCACAGATGTCAGCTAAAGACTCCTGTGTTTGTGCTGGGCCATCCTGGGCTCCTTTCATCAAGGATGGAGCACTAGGCAATACCAGTCTTAGTGTTCACAGCACAATCCACACTGTGGGGCTGGCATTACTGAGGTCCTGTCTATGAGTGTTGAGCTGGCTGGGCCCTCCTGGGTGCCAGGCAGCTATAGCCACCACTGCAGTGTCACACAGGTGCCCCTGAAACAGTCTGTTGCTCTAACTTGTCAGGTGACCTCAAGAAAGGAAAGATGAAATGGGGAACTTTTTTTCCAAGCAGCTGCTGACAGTGCTTGGAAGACTGGTACAATAATACCTGGCACCTTCCTAGGTTTCAGTGTTTTGTGGTGACCAACCACCKAAGAAGCACTCAAGGAAGGAGCTGACTGGCATGAGGATTCAACTCCTGACTCTTGTATCATAGTAGCTAAAGCATCAGGGAATGCCTTTCCCCCAGGAAAGTTTTCCTTCTCTTGCAACAACTTGGATAAGCTCATTCTGAAGGCTGTAATGGCACTTCCAGTTCTGAAGACCATAACCTCGCGTGGTCAAGGCAGCAACCAGAATGCACAGTGATGTGGTCACATGCCAGGTGACAGGATCAGAGCCTCCCGGACAGCCTGCATGGCAAGTCCTGCCAACAGCCAGTGCTGAGACTCTCGGGGCTCTGCACATACACAGCATTTCTCAGAGCCCTGAGTGCTGCCAGCACCAGCTCACACAGGGTCAGACACATCTGGGCCTCAGGAGTGCCCTGGCCAGCCAGGGCGTCTGTGCTGAACCCGCAGCACAATGCTATTTTAAGCATGATGTCCCTCCGTCTGGAAGATTACACTCACATCTGAAAGGTCCAGGAAGCGGTTCAGGAAGATGAATGCCATGTTCTCCCAGTGGACTGCCTGGTGCAGGGAAAAGCAAGTGAAAACAGGCAGCTGATGGTCACCTTCATGGCCACAACTCCCCGAGCATGATGTGGTTCTGCCTGGTGGCAACATCCTGCCTGCGACAGGTGAGTGTGGAGGGAGAGTGCGCAGCACCACTCACCACCCTGAGGACCACTCTGCGGGGGTCTGCCGGGACAAGCAGTCCCTCAGGCCACCGAGGGAACCTGCATGGAGCCTGGCACTACCACACGGCCAGCGCACGTCGACAGCAACGCGCTGCTGTCTGCCTTGTGTCACTGCATGGGGCCAGCGGGCAGTGCAGCCTCAGGAGTGTTAGTCAGGTACGAAGCCAGGTGGACTCCAGCTAAGTCCCCTGTATCTACAGTAGCAGAGAGAACATAATGTGGCCTCTACCCTATCCCTTGCAGTACATGTCCTCTTGCTGTCTCAGGTTTCCCCTTCCACTAGCTATGCCCATGCTATGAGGAAATGTAGGACTGGAAAGGCATTTGGAGGAAAGGCCTCCAAAGCCAGTACTTGGCTACTGGTGCATTAATGAGTCTGATGCAGAGCTGGGGGAAGATCAGAGAAAACAGTGTTCAGAAACCCCGAGCTCAGGCTCCACATTTGTGCTCTCTGCGGCAGACAGCTCTTACCTTGGCAGCTGTCCCAGCTTCATAGAAGGCTTTGTCTGCAGGAATAAGCTCAGTGTGGCGAAGCAGGGAGATGGACAGCTTGGCAGCCACAGCATCCTGCAGACACAGAGCACAGTAAAGCCACATCAGACACACAGAAAAATTGCCCGTTGGCCTAGAAGGGTCTCATGACATCATCCTGCCCCACGGCAGGAACTTTGCACCCACACATTCCTGGTGCATTTGTCTAACTTAAAAGCCTCCAAGGATTGAACTTTTAGAGTTCCCCTTCATGGCCATCCTAAGGTGAAGGGCCTCTGACAGAAAAATCTATTCTTCTGGCTAATCTGTGTTCCCCTTGTGGCAATTAATATACAAAGAGCTGGAAAACAGATGATATCTTTCCTGTTCCAGCAGTTATTTTCTCTTGTCATCTCTTCCTTCAGGCTATTCCCATAGGCTAGGTCCTCCAACCCAACTCTCTCTCCTATCTTTTCTGTTCTCTGGGCCCTTTCCGAGCAATTCCTATTTTCAGTCTGGACATTKGACCCTTTGAAGCCTCACTCATGTGGAGCTGAAGGACTAATTCCTGCTTCCTGTGTTCTCCTCTGGCTTATACTTCCTAATATAACAGCTGTCTTTGCAGGAACTGGACACTGCTGACACATTCAGCAATGATCCAATGTACTCTCACTCAATCCCTCTAACTATCCGCTTTCCATCTTGTGTCCGAATCCTTGGTTATTCCTGCTTGAAGGCACTTCTCSCAGTCTACTTCACAGGAATAGCACCCCACTTTTCTGAT